GATTTGGAACATAAAGAGCCAGAAGACACTCCTCCGCAGAAGCAAGAAGGCAAGAGAATCCAGAAAGTTGAAGATAATGTAAGAAAACTCTGGGACAACCTCAAGCAAACCAACATCAGAATTATGGGGGTCCCAGAAGATGAGAGAGAGCAAGACCCCAAAAACATACTGAAAGAAATAGTGACAGAAAACTTCCCCCACCTGATGAAAGAATTAGACTTGTAAGTCTAGGAAGCACACAGAACTCCAAACAAAAGGAATCCAAAGAAGACCACACCAAGACAAATCATAATTAAAATTCCAAGAGCAAAAGACAAAGAAAGAATATTAAAAGCAGCAAGAGCAAAGCAGGTAACTACCTATAAAGGAGCACCTATATTATTGTCAGCCGATTTCTCAACAGAAACCATGCAGGCCAGACTGGAATGGCAAGAAATATTGATGAATAGTAAAAACCTACAGCCAAAAATAAACCCAGCAAAGCTATCACTCAGAATCAAAGGCCAGATAAAGAGCTTCACCAATAAAAAAAAGCTAAAGGAGTTCATCACCACCAAACCAGAATTATATGAATTGCTGAAGGGGGTTCTTTTGGAAGAGAAAGTAAATAAAGATAAAAATTATGAACAACAAATACGTAACTATCAACAAGTGAATCTAAAAACCAAGGAAATTAAAAAAAAAATCTGATGAATAATATTAACTGTTGAATATAATAGAATCAGAGGTATGGAAGGGGAGTAAACTGACGATTCTCGGGGAAACGGGGAGATAAGGATGTGGGACGAGACTGAACATAAACTGTGCACCTATGAATGAGGACAATGATGGGTGGGGAAAGGGCAGAGGGTGGGGTGGGAACCTGGTGGAGTGGAGCAACGGAGGGGGGGGGGGGAAAGAGGAACATCTGTAATAATATGAACAATAAAGATTAAAAATAAATAAATAAATGAATAAATAAATAAATAAAATAAGTAGGGGTGAGGGGGAAGAAACAAATGAAGGAATACATTATAATCACACCTTCCTGCAGCACCTGTGTGTGGGGGAGGGGCTGGCTGGGCCTTCCCAGGGTTATGTTAGCAGGACACATCTTTGTCATATCACCCTTTCTCTGGCTTTTACACCCCAGCATCACCATTCTCCATGCAATAGCATCATTTCTCAAGTGATTTTATTTCATAGCAATCTTAGAAAATTAGAAATTGTTATATGAACCCCACATGAACTTAAGTTTATCCGATACCATCGTGATGAAATGTTGGGATATGCTGATAAAGTAAATGAAGGTTTATTTTATTTTTTAAATATATTTTATTGATTTTTTTACAGAGAGGAAGGGAGAGAGATAGAGAGATAGAAACGTCGATGAGAGAGGAACATCAACCAGCTGCCTCTTGCACACCCCCTACCGGGGATGTGCCCGCAACCAACGTACATGCCCCTGAACGGAAACGAACCTGGGACCTTTCAGTCCGCAAACCTACGCTCTACCACTGAGCCAAACCGGTTTCGGCAGTAAATGAAGGTTTATAAGGGTTGTTTTTCCCCCCCAAAAAACTCAATTATTGGGAAGCAGATGTGCACTGCTGCAGGCTCTCCAGCAGGGGGCGCCCCAGGAGTGCCACATCCCCTCCTCCACAGAGGGGTTCACCAGCTCTCACCCCTTGCTCTCCTGGGGACAGGAGCAACTGGACCACACCCGTGAGTGACCACAGCTCTGGTCTGTGCAGCAGGGGGCGGGGCTGCCCAAGAAGCCGGACCCGGGGACCAAGTCCAGGTCTCAGCTTCCTTAGTCAGGGTCCCATCTCATGCTCCCCAAACATAGCTGTTTCTGCTCTTTTCTATGCACTTCAAAGCCAGAGAACCCAGGACTAGAGCCAAGTTCATGAAACAAAACCCTCATTTTGCTCTCCTATTTTCTCCACAGTGTAGCATTTCCACCTCCGGGGACCATCTGAACAGATCTGATGGTCAGAATTCTTAGTTCCATGAGCTCAGCTTTCTCATCAGCAAACGGGGATCACAGCCTGCTTCACAGGGCCCCTCAGAAATGAGCCAGAGAGCGCACTGGGTGGTGACTGGCCGAGTAGGTGCTCAGGTGGCCATCTGTCTGGCTGTCTAGGGCATCTGTGTTCCCGAGACGTCAGGGTGCAGAAGGTGAGACAGAAGTCAGCTGCCAAACCACTGCGTGCAGCGTCATGGGTAAGACAGACCAGAACCAGCAGATTCCTGCACCGGCTGCTCCTCATGGAGATCCTCACTAAGAACAAACCCGCACACAGAAGCCCCTGCACTCAGCGAAAAGCACCTACAACACAGAAATACACCAGAACAAATCCAACCAGCACCACCAGCCATCCCTTAGGCATGCCCCCCACAGGCTGCCGCTGCCAGGCAGAAGCAAGCGCGATGGCAAGTGGATGGCACAGGCTGAGCAGGTGGCAGAGGGCACACTGAGCAGGCGGTGAGGCAGGAGACAGGGAGGACCAGGACCTGCAGACTGGGCAAACCCGGGATTCTCAGGTAAGAGTATTTTTCCTAACAAGATCCAGGGACATTTCAAAACTTTTAAAAATGACTATACTTTTGGTCTTAATTACTTCACACCATGGAATTCGCTCTAAAACAATTCCTAGTAAAGACCACTAATAACTTCTAGAAGGAGCCCGGCAGGGATGGCTCAGTGGTTGAGCATTGACCTATGAACCAGGTCATAGTTTGATTTCCGGTAGGGTACGCGCCTGGGTTGTGGGCTCAATCCCCAGGAGTGGCCTATCAATGATTCTCTTCATTGATGTTTTTTAAAATATATTTTTTACTAGAGGCCTGGTCCTTCAGCCTGGCCTGTGCCCTCTCGCAGTCCTAAGCCAGCAGCTGGACATCCTTAGCGCTGCCCCAGAGCCAGGAGCGGCTCCTGCCATCACTGCTGAGCTTGCCAGCCATGAGCCCAGCTATGGCTGAGCAGTGGTCCCGCTGTGGGAGTGCACTCACCACCAAGGGGCAGCTCCTGCATTGAGCGTCTGCCCGCTGGTAGTCAGAGCACATCATAGCAATTGGTAATTCCATCCTTTGGTCATTTTGCATATTAGCCTTTTATTATATAGGATTGACTTCAGAGAAGAAAGTAGAGGGAGAAACATCCATGATGAGAGAGAATCACCGATCGGCCACCTCCTGCACATCCTCTACCAGGGATCGAGCCTGCAACTGGGCATGTGCCCCTGACCAGAATCAAACCCGGGACCCTTCAGTCTGCAGGCCAACACTCTATCCATCAAGCCAAACCAGCCAAGGCTCATCATTCCCTTGCTCTTCCTCTCTAAAATCAATTAAAAAAATATTTTTAAAAAAATAGCCTCTAGAGCAGTGGTTCTCAACCTTCCTAATGCCGCAACCCTTTAATACAGTTCCTCATGTTGTGATGACCCCCAGGTTGAGAATCGCTGCTGTAGAGCCTAAGACCATCAGAAAACACAGACATTTACAATGCATAACAGTAGCAAAATGACAGTTATGAAGTAGCAACGAAAATAATTTTATGGCTGGAGGAGCTGTATGAAAGGGTCGTGGCACGAGGACGGTGGAGAACTGCTGCTCCAGAGGTAACATCAGCAGGGGGACCAGGGCCGCTCCCCTGCCTTCAGCCAGGATTTCAGGACAGAGCTGGGAAGAGAACAAGATAATCGACCAGATACTCCGTAGCAAGGACTCTGCTTCTGCTTTGAAGGCACTTTATGTATCTCCCCTCTCCGCACCCCTTTAGGCACCTACAATGCACAGGGGCTATGCTTCCGATCGCGCGGCAACAGGAATCCAAACACACACAAAGGCGGTTCACTTTTGTAAGAAACAATATATTTATTTTCTGACACCACAGCTCTGGTGAGTGGTTTTGTACCAAATTTAATGGAGGTTACACAGAACGTTTTACGCATGGGAGCGGGGAGGGGAGGAACCACAAAATTAAAAACAAAATCCCGGGTAGCTTTTAGCATCTGTTCCACTCCCACATTCATAAAACTCACTTGGGAATTCCTAATAAAAGGAGAACAAAAAACAAGGTAACCTGGGGGAGAGAAGACAGGAGGGAAAGACGACCCTGGAGTTCCCAAAGACAGGCCTCCCTCCCCCCACTTCCCAAGGCCAGGACTCCGCGGCCCGAGGCCAGTCTGTCAGGTCACTTCCCCAAACAACACCGTGTACTGCAGCTGCCAGAGGGGGAGGAGAGAGGGAAGTCCGGAGGGGAGGAAGCTGAGGAGCTGGGGAGGGAAGACAGAGAAACTGACGGTGGGTTTGCAGATGGGGAGACAGTGCCGAAGACTCTGGAACTGAAAACAAAACGTCCTAAACGTCAGGATTTTTTAAAAAAAGAAACCATTTCCCCATCCCCCCACCCCTTGCTGAACTTAGTTCCTTTTTTTGTGCTTTTCATTAATACTCTGCTCTGAGGTCGTAGTTTGGTTTTCTGTACACGGGAGTTGAAAATAGTCCGAAGGTCTGAAGATGGATTCTCCACTGCAAGTAAACAGCCCAGCATCCTGTTCTCCTCGCGTCCCACAGACTCGCGTCTCTGCTAAGATCCCTTTTACAATATAGTACAGTACACGCAGAAATAAAGCCCAAAGCGAAAAACCAACCGGAAAAGAATCCTGGGAGAAGCCAGTCCAAAGGACGTAAACATACAGAGAACGGTGCAACACGTGACCGATGGCGATTCTAAAGCACGGCTACGGGTTCCCACGAGGAGGTGCCATCGTGGGATACCCAAGTCCACAAAAATAATCTTTAAAAAATAAATCTTAAAAAACACACACCTGTTGATTAAATGAATCATTTGCTTTCAGGTAAATCCATACATTCTCGAGTTCCCCCCTCCCCCCAGCAGCCCTCGGGTCTCTGTCCTCCTATTGCATGACTGACAGTCTCCCGGGGCCGCCGGAGCAGCCTCGGGACTGAATCTCCTCTGGACGAAGATCGGCACATCCAATCGTAGCAGCTTAAAACATCATGTTTCCTGGGTTGCCAGGTCCTTGACCAAACCCACCCATGCCCACGTCGGCGGCCATGCCCCGGGGCCGCATCTGTGGGGGGACCATGATGTTCTGTTGGGGTCCCATCATGCCCTGCATGGACATCATCATGCCCGGAGAGCCCACAGGCCCAGGGTGGGGATAGAGCCCGGCGGGTCCCCGGTCCTTGCCAGGAATCATGCCCACGGCAGCAGCCGGATTGCTCATCAGGGTGGGCTGGCCGGGCATGGCGGATTGTGCTGGTGACATCATCCGATGGTGCGGTCCCATCATGCCTTGCTGGAGAAAGGCTGGTGGTCTCATTGGGTTGTGGCCTGGCATGGATGGAGCTGTGCCGAGAGGTATGTCTGGAGTTCCCACAGGCCCGGGGCCTCCCATGCCAGGCAATGCCAGTCCCATCCTGGGGGCTTGCTCGCCCAGCATCCCCTGCATGTGCGAAAAGCCGGGCCCGGGCCCCTGGGGCTGCTTGCGGCCCGGGACTTCCCCGCGAGGGAAATACTGCAGCGTCTGGCTGGGCTTCTCCGACGGGATAATGCGAGACAGGTCAAACTCGGGGATGCCGGTGGCTCCAGGTCGGATGACCTCCTGCAGGTCCGGGTCTGTAAACACTGAAGGCATGCTATTCCCCAGCACAGCGAAAGAGTCAGGCCCCCCCGGGCCTCCAGGCTTACAAAGTGCTGCATCTGCTGAACTCGGGGGCAGGTTGCTGGGCCGGCCCAGGGGGCCTTCTCCTGGGAAGCCCATGCCCCCTGGGAAGCTGCCTTGCCCCCCGCTGGGGCCGTTGTGGGGGAAAGGAACCTGCTGCGGAGGAGACTGCACTGGAGGGAAGCCCTGGGGGAAGCCCATTCGTCCTTGAGGTACCATCGGAGGCTCCTGGGACCCGTGCCCCATGATAGGATTGTGTGACATCAGGCCCGGCCCCATCGGGACCCCGTGAGGAGGTATGTTGGGTCCCATGGCATTCGGAGAGGGCATCTGATTGGAGTGAGAAAGCGGCTGGGTCATTCCCATTGGGCTGAGGGTTGGCATCGGAACCACAGGGTTTGGACCTGAAATTCGAGGATTCTGTGTATTAATGCCCATTCCTAGAAAAATAAAGACATAAAAGGTATCAACTCAACTGAAAACAACTCAGTACCATAATCAAATCTACAAAGAAATTATTGTGCACCAAATGTTCACGGCACCTAAGAAAACACCACACCCAACGCCTGCCCTCAGTGAGATGTAACACATTTGGGGCACACAAGCCAACAGCTCTACCAGACAATGCACTGTGTCCCACACTGTGTGGCTGAGGCGTGTGCAGAAGACAGGTAGGAAGAAAGTCTTTGGGAAAAGTTACCAATTAGTATGCAAATGAGTAGATAGTCTTCTTCACCGGAGCCGGTTAATACAGAAGCAAACGATTTGTCTAAATGACTTAAGCACAGTGCTTTTTGAGAAGGATGATTAACTAGCCCTACAGGCCCAAGAATGAGAAATAACAGGGACGGCTTCATCACTGACGCCGGGCATTATCACTTACACGCCGTACAGAGGGAGCCGTTCCCACCCGGGCTATACAAAATGTTAGAGAAATGGGATCTTCCCACGAAGGAGGAAGGCAGGCAGGTTCTACTGGTCTCTGGGGCATTTCAGTGGCTGGTCGCTCTATGGAATCTCCACTGAGTGTGCAAGTCCACCCTGATGAATCAGGGCTGCTGATGAATAGAGAGCATTCCTAGCAATCAGAATGGCTGATGCGTCAGTGTCTGTGCTGCCCAGATTAGGTCCCTCAGTGTTCGTGAGCTGGGGCAGAGAGGAGTGGAGAGTGGGGGGAGGGGAGGAATTTCCTCTCTGGCCCTCAAGGGCTTCTCTAGGGAACGGGCTTCCACTGTCTGAAATCCTACGGCTGCTTGTGGTCTGAGGCTGCCCTTGCAGGAAACACTGGAGAACTACAGACTCTCTAACCAGCTTGTTAAGAAACTGCCTTCAGTGCAGCCTCAGGAGGGCCACACCTGCCCCCGATCCAGGAAACGGAAGCCCAGACCTTCTATGGGGCGTAAGGAAGCCTGCTCTCTCACAGGCACATGCTGAGTCCTCGGATCAAACTGTGTCTGTTGTCTTCCTCCAGGGAAGACACTGGAAGTCACTGAAATTAGATGGTATTATTTCCACTTGCTGAACCTCTATCTACCGAGGTCTGTGTTATCAAGAACGCATGCGTGAAGTTTCTCTTGTCTCCCTGGTTCTTACCTGGCATGTTATTCATGGATGGCAAGTTGGGAGAACGAGCAGGAGGGGAGTCGTCGTCCGAGCTGGCCACGGTCTTGATGGCATCGTGGTACAACGGGGTGGAGCTGGGCATGGCGAACTTGGACATTCGAGACATCATGATGGACAGCGGGTTCTGGGACAGGGTCGGCTCCGGAGGCATGGTGTACGGGGTGCTGGAAGGGAGGCTTCCCGGCAGATTCACAGAGGCGGGCTGGCTGGCTGTGGGCGGCGGGGGGCCACCTGGGAGAAGACAGCAGAAGAAAACAGAAACGGGCAGGGAGTCAGATCCACCTGTTGGCAAGGGGGCCTCATGAACGAGCAATGCCAGGGAGGCAGCCGAGGAGCTGGACAGTGTTATTAGACCCCGGGCACAAACCATCCCTCTCCCAGCCAAGCACTGCGTGTGGACAGAGGGGGATGGCAGCATGAGGTGGAGGTGTCAGGTCCGCAGAGGGGAAGACAAACACAGCAAGAGTGTGTTAAAAATATACTGAGTGGCCAGATGATGATGATCTCTGAACGCATAATAATGCCACTCAGTGTATATTCTATATAATAAAAGGCTAATATGCAAATTGTCCCCCCAACCAGGAGTTCAACCAGCAGGCAGGCAGGCCAACCACCCATGTCCCCTCCCCCTGGCCAGGCTGGCCAGACCCCGCCATGCATGAATTCATGCACCAGGACTCTAATATATGGAGAGAGAGAGAAGAAGACACACACACACACACACACACACACACACACACACTGAGTGGCCAGATCATTATGCTTTCAGAGATCATACTAATCTGGCCACTCAGTGTATTAGTGCAAGCCTGGAACGACAGTTTACAGACAACAATTTTGCTAAAATAATGTGAAATAAGTGCACTGTTCCCCTGTCTGTTGCAATTTAGGATTCCACTCAAGGATTAGCATAGTGTGAGGCCAGACTAGCACTCTGACTCTAGGTACTAACCTATCAACCTACACATGCTCTTGTATTTATGTGTTGTTTTTTTCTATTGATTTCAGAGATGGAGAGGAAGAGAGATAGAAATAGAAAAATCAGTGATGACAGAGAATCATCTATTGGCTGCCTCCTGCACATCCCCTACTGGGGATTAAGCCTGCAACCCAGGCATGTGTCCAGACTGGGAATTGAACTGTGACTTCCTAGTTCATGGGTCAATGCTCAACCACTGAGCCACACAGGCTGGGCCCTACACATGCTCTTGATTAATTCCCACAAGTCTGAACTACAAAGGTCTGAGGGGGCTGTTCCACTCACGGCTTCTGTGAATTGCTATCCGACAGAGAGAAACACTTGGGCTTATAGGATAAATCTTGTCTCATTTTGATTCTAATCTTTCTTAAGTGGAGACAGCTCGGACCTGGTATTTACACCTCAGTGCTTATCTTCCTGACCACCTCTGGTCGTTCACAAACCACCATCATCAGGAGAGCCTCTCCTGGGAGAAAAATACCAATAAACTGATGGTGAGAACAGCAGTCTACCAAGGAGCTCGTGGCAGCGGCGGCCTGTCGGTGCGGATGCGAGAACCCTGTGGTCTCCGCGGCCTCTCCTCCCCTGCCTGGGATTACACAGACTCTCAACGCGAGGGCAGCCCCTTAAGTGGGGAGGCCTCGTGTTTGAAGCCTCATTTACCCAATGCTTACATTTTACTTTCAAATGTAAATTACTCTGTGAAATGACAGACTTCCTACTTCCCCTCCCCTTTACCTATCTGACAGGCACTGTCTGCACTGAAAGCCTGTGTCCTCTCCAGGATCTGACACTGGTGCAGGGCCCAGGGAGGTACTAGTCGTGCCCTTTGCCAACAAAGATGCCGCTGGCAAAGGCCGCCTCCTCTGGCTGCATGCTCCCGCCAGGACAGCAGTTTCCTGACAGTAAGACTGGCGTTAGCCGTCTCCAGCCACAAGGTGACCGCAAGGGCGAGAGCACTAACCTGACTCCACGCTTCCCAGCAGCGCCGGGGAGGCCATGGCGAGGGGCGCTTTGTGGTTCGGAGGGATGCCAGGACTCTGGAGGGGAGGTTTGGGAGAGGAGGTCCATCCGGGTGACGGGGCCGGAAGTGATGGAGACTTGAGGTGAACGGGCGAAGCAGCAGCAGACCCCAGGACCGGGGGGGACTTAATGGAAGCGGCAGCAGCTGGGCCCGCCAGCATGCCTGCCAGCTGCGACGGAGTCTGGGGGGACTTGAGGTTCCCGGAGGGTGAGCCCAGCATCGGAGACTGGACTTGGCGCATCGTGGGCGACTTCAGAGGGTTGATGCCCGGGGAGTGCACCTGGCCGCCCGCCACGGAGATATCCAGGGGCTTCCGGCCCAGGCCGCGCTGGCCCGGAGGGGCCGTGCTGAGGCTCGGGGGGTTGCTGGAAGGGTTGAGAGGTAGTGGTGGCATGTGACTGAGCCGGTTGTTAGTCCTTTGGTCGGGCCCGATTGGTTCTCTGAGATTCCGCAAGCCACTGCTGCCGCCGGGACCCTGAGACATGGGGAGGAACGGCCTGGGGCCCATGCCATACTCCTGCTGAGGGTGCTCGCCGAACGGCAGGGGCACCATCTTCTGCTGAGCGGGCAGCAGGTCTGCACCCGCGGGGCGCAGCTTCAGCATCTCCTCGGGGCCCGCCCCAGCCTCTCGCAGCTTCTGAGGTATCATCTGAGAGTTGGATCCCATGTTGACGTTCAGACCGACATCTCCCTTCATCCCAGCAGGGACCATCCCGAACTCCAGTTCCCGACCAGGGCCCATCTGTGGGGGCATTCCTTTCGGAAAGTCCCCCCTGGAAGGACTCAGAGGGCCCTCCACTGGGACTCGAGGGAAAATGGGATTGCTCCCCGATTCCAGGTGTCGCTGGGAGCCGGGGAGCATCCGGTTCATGTCCAGGCCAGGCCGGATGCCGTCCATGCTCATCCCCGGAGGCAGGCCCAGCTGCTTCTCGGCCAGCTGCTGCTGGAACATCTCCTCAGACAAGCCTTGGGGGTTCGGGAAGCGCTCCCCTCGGCCAGGCCCACTGAAGATGCCCTGGCCGGGCGGGAAGTTCCGACCGTCTGGAATTTTTGGCACATCGTCTGGCCAACTGACTCCAGAAAGACCAGGTCTCGACGCCGGGTTGGGGACACTGGCCGCCTCCATTTCGGAGTTTATCATCCCTGCGAAGCCTGGGAGGCGCATCTGGCTCCCTGGCATGTTAGAGTGGGGAGCCATGCCCCTCGGGGGCAGAGAATGCGGCATGTTGATCCCATCAGCAAACGGCTCTGCACCCCCGGGCCCCCAGCCTTCACTGGGGGCCATCTGGTATGGAGGGGGTGGCCCCCGAACCACCCCCCGCGGCCCGTGCTGATGGACCATCATGTCCTGGAGGGAGCACTGCTGCACCACCACTTGCTCCTGCTTCCTCCTCTTCTCTTCGTAGAACTCCTGCTGCAGCTTCAGCCAGGCGATCTGCTCGGGGGTCATGTGATCCAGGTGGTCGGGGCCCATGGGCCCAGGCTGAGCATTCATGGACGGTGGCACCATTTCATCTGGAGAGAAGGGCACGTCTCTATGTCCTTGCGGGCCAAATGGAGCTCCCATATCTGTCCGGGGCCCAGGTGCCTTACCTAGGCTTTGGGACTGGGCCATCATGGCCTGGATCGGCCCTTCTGGCTTTTTCTGAGGCCCATCTAATACCCCAGGATTCTGCTGGGGTCCCCCACTTTGTCCTGTGAATTCCTTCTCATCGGGGAAAAGCATTCGCTGGATGTCTCTGAGCGTCTGTAAGGAGCGCTCCCGGTGCTCCAGCTGCTCCTGAGACAGGCCATCGGGGTTCTCCCCCAGGGCGGGGGGCTCCGCACTGGGCAGGGGAGGCGGCGGGGCTTTGGGGTCGGTGGAGGAGCTACTGCTCCCCTGCGAGACAGGGGTCCCCGCTCGGTTGTTGGGCGTCAGGCTGGGCCCAGTGGCATCTGGGGGCAGTGGAGTGGAGCTGGCAGGACTGCCCACAGAAGGAAGCAGTTTGTTTTCTGCCCCAGGGCTATCCTGGTCCAGGGGACGCAGGGGCGCGGCAGGCTTGGGTGCTGGTGCCGAAATGGGTGGCGTTGGCTGCAGCCGGGGATTCTGGGAAGAATTCTGATCCTGGTTGGCCGGAGCCGGGGGCTGTTGTGCGAGAGGTTTCAGATCGTTCCGAAGGGCAGACAGCTGTGTGTTCTGTACAGAAACGAGATTTCAAAATCATTGTAGATTAAACAGAAGGGCAGCTAAAAGAGCATGCTACGATCTCAGTCACACAAATCTAAGTGACACTTGCTATGGGAACTGCTCATGTACAACCCCATTCTGGACACGGAGACATTCTGATTTTTTTCTTCCCCTTCACTGTCAGTTGGCCTCCTCTTCCCTCACTGAAGATTGGGTTTCAGTAGCGTTCTCAGCCTGCCAGGGAGAGCCACTGCCAAAGTGAATACATCTGAGTATCTATTTCGAGGAACAGGTTTGAGATCACATGTCTACTATGTGTTTCTGGGCAAGATTAGTTCCTTGGTATGTGGGAGGCTGTGCGTAACACCTCTTTATTTTCCCCGAAAGTACAACTGTGTAGCAGACGTCTCACTGTCAATCAAAAGCCTGATGTTTTCAACTGAGAAAGTGCCGTCCTAGCTCCGCCCCCTGCCAGAGGCTGCAGGCTGCCGCCTCCTCTCCTCTCTCCTCGCCTAGAGTTTCCACGCAACCAGACATCTCTGGTTTCTGTCTTCAGGCTGTGATCACTGATTCCGTATGTGATAAGAATTGGTACATAACGACAGTAAGATAATCTGGAGGCAGGAAGCACCTGTGGAGAAATCTGAGGCTGCCTGCTCGTGGTGGCCTGGACCTGCTCTTTCCAATAGGAAGGAGACGGTCCTTTCGCAGGCTGGATGGCCCCCTTATTAAAATTAAGGGCCAATGCTACCCCGGGTCCCAGGTAAAAGCACACTTGCTCACAGCAGGGACATGGATGCTGTCAGTGTTGGGAAGAAGGACATTCATGTTCTGGGCCTGAGCCTTGGCAGCGCTGAAGGAACTATAGCAGCAGGGCCCAGCCAACTCCCCCCCCCTCCCCCACTCGGGGATCTTGCCCCAGGCTCCAGGGTGTCACGTGGTCCCTTTCTGATTCATTTCTCCCGCCTGGTCACTTAATCCAAACCCCTCGGGCCCTTACCTGGATCCCCACTTCCTCTCTGGAATGTTTACCATTATGTGTGTCTGCATGGGGACAGTCTGTATTGCATAAACATAAGACACACCTGAGAGTGGTCACATTCCGTGACTGTGTGCACAGAGGTTTCACCTGCAAGTGTCCCTGCACATCCGTCTGCAGAGACTGGTGTGGGCAGGACACGAGCCCGAAGCACCGAGCCTGTAGGACCCTGACTCCCTGAGGGGAGTGTGGAGGCCGCCTCACTTCCTCCCAGGGCCCTGTTAGGTTTGGTTTTGCCGACCAGCTTTTTTCTGTTTGTGGGTGGTGGGCACTGATTCCACATAAGGTGACCATGACAGAAGAAATACCTAGATACCATCCCTTTTTTATGAGACTTGGAGCAAAGGTGATTGATTATTCCCAATTCCCTGCCTAACTCCTTTTCTGATTGCATTTTAGCATCAGAGAAGGTGGAGGTGGAAACTGTATGAGATCTGTCATTAAGTCAATAAAATGTTGCTTTGAGTAGCACTGTACCCTCTGCATTCTAGGAAAATATAAAATTTAAACATACATATATTTAAGTATAAATTTAAAAATATACATACAGATAGACCCCCTCCCACACACACACATACTTTAAGTGTCAGCTCTCTCTGCCCTCTGCCCTGAAGGAGTAGAGACGCTTAGGATCAGGAAGTTCCTTTCCCAAGTATAGGAAAGCCCAGGCTATGCCAACTGAGGGGGGTTTGCTGATATGCCATCTACTTTATCTCAAACTGTCACTTCAGTCCCCTTGCCCTTTAACTTGTCAAAGTGGTGGAGACTGATCCCAGTACTAGGTGTTATGCTTCCTGAAAGTAGAGACGGTCCTGAACTTCCTAGTGTCCCCACGGCAACAGTGTGCAGCGGCGATGCCAGACACAGTTCTGTTTGGAGGACTGCCTGTATCAAAACCGCCATCGCATGCTTTGCCAGCGTAGCTGTCTATTAGGTGCTTATGTTCCAGACAGGAAGCAGACTGGAATTTATTGTAATTTTGGAAATATCAAGCAATTAAAAGCATTCAGTGGTCCTCTTTTTTTTAAAAAAAAAAAATATATTTTTTTATTGATTTCAGAGAGGAAGGAAGAAGAGATAGAAACATCAATGATAAGAGAGGATCATTGATTGGCTGCCTCCCACATGGCCCACAATGAAGACCAAGCCTACAACTCGGACATGTGCCCTGACCGGGAATCAAGCCTGCGACCCTTCAGCCCACAGGCCAACGCTCTAGCCACTAAGCTGGCTAGGGCTCATTTGACTCTGATTCGTCTATGACTTCATGGTTTACTGGCATGTACTTCACTATTGTAGTCCTAGTTGTTGCTTTTTATTGCTCTTCAACTCACTCCAGAGTGTGTATTTTTTTTAAAACCTGCTCTCTACACAGGGCCTGAGTTCACACAGTCCCAGAGATAGTTACACAAAGGAAATCCCAAGAGATCTACTAACTCCTGTTTTATTGTTCACCTTTCCCTCCTAGTAACTCATCAATGGGGTTAAAAGCCCGGAACGCCGCTTACGACCCTTGCCCCATTGAAGACAGACACCGCCTCCCACCTCTGGTCACTGCGAGCCTTTAGCCCGTCACTCCATTCCCAAGCCACGTACCAGAGGGGCTGTGCTCCGGTCGGCCTTGCTGTTGGAGATGCTCTGGATGTGGAAAGACACGATTGTTTCGACCTGGCCCTTCAGCACTGCTTCTGCGGCTCTGCGGAGACAAGAGAGGCACACAGGACTGGTTTCTATTTCACTGACTGAGAGCCCAGCACCTCCTCCCAGACTGAGCTTGTCAGAGGGAGGAAGGGAAGTATGGCGAACCGCTAGAAATGCCGAGCGATACGAGCTCAACAGAAATAGGTTTTCAGTATGTCTATCATTTACTGCCAAACTTCCGAAATTAAAAGAAAGCCATTAACAAATCCCAAAAGAGGCATTAAAAACAAACCACCAAGATCTTCTCCCTCAAACCAATACACGGTGGTGAATGCTTTATAGAGAATCTCAGTTCAAAACCCCAGCCTGAGACTGTGAGCATGGAATCTCACGCCTAACCATCAACGAAGGTTGTCAAGATTCACTTTGTATCTAATTGAAAAATCTTAAGTGAAAAAAAGTCAGAATACTATGTAGGATATATTCACATTAATACATACATATATTGACGTCAGAGAGGAAGGGAGAGAGAAATATCAATAATGAGAGAATCATTGATCGGCTGCCTCCTGCATGCCCCATACTGGAGATTGAGCATGTTCCCTGACTGGGAATCGACTGAGCCCCCCCGGGCCAGGCCTCATTTTTATAAATAACTAAAACCCACTGATCCCCATCTACCAGAAGCACAAGACCGAAATGTTCAGAGTAGTTAGTTATCTTGGTGAATTCCAGAGATTTTTTTTTTCTTTTTAAGTTACTTATATTTTCTAATTATTCTAAAATAGACATGTAATATTTATGTCATTTTAAAAAAAATACTAAATTGTAGAAAAGTATTTGATGCAATCAATCCTTTTTGTGTTTAAAAGGTCTCTAATGCCTGTTTGCATAAGTTCAACATATTTTTGGAAGGAAAACCAAGGAAGTACCATGGCTGCCTGTGGGGAATGGGGGTGGGGAAGTTATTTATTTATTTGTTTGTTTATATTTTTAATATATGTATTTTATTGACTTCAGAAAGAGAGAGAGGGAGAGATAGAAATATCAATGTTGAGAGAGAATCACTGATCAGCTGCCTCCTGCACTCTGCTCCCCTCCCCACTGGGTATGGAGCCCACAACCCTGGCATGTGCCCCGACCGGGAATCAAACCATGCCCTCTTAGTTCACAGGTCAACGCTCAACCACTGAGCTACGCCAACCAGGCGAGGTTTTATATTTTAGTTTACCTCCTTCTATACTGTTAACCTTAATAATAACACAAATGAGGGAGGAGAGCAATTTTCAATGGGAATAAGAACTCAGGTGTCCAGACACATAAGCCAACAGCAAAACACAGCCATCAACTTACTTATTGGCCATCTCAGTAGAAAACACATACACCACTTTGGCGGGAGTCTTCTGAGCAGCTGTGGGCTCGGGGGCAGTAGTCTGGCCATGGGCGGGGGGAGAAGACCTGGGGGCCGTGGCATTTGACGGGGTCATCGAGTGTGGTGTGTGCTGGGGGTCCTGGGCCTTGATGTGGTCAGCAGAATTACATTCTAGAAGAATGAAAACCTCACGTCACAGAACGAATACACCTCTCTGCCAGCACATACAGCACCACAACACAAACCCACCTTGACAATGTCAAGGAGGAAGTACCTTGCTAAGAGGAATCCTCTGCTACCCATAAAAATGGAAATATGCTTTTCCCTAAATGACGAATTAAAAGCCCTCCTCCCCACCTCCTTCTCTCCCCCCATTCTCCCGATATTAGCATAATGTCCCCCCTTCCTGGAACCCTTTCTAGAACCTCTGGCCTGGACTGGACACCCTGCTAGTTGAACCCAGAGCCCCAACTTCTCTCATTTCAGCAGTTTGAATTGTACAAATTTTACCGTAATTGCTTACTGGTCTGCTGTCTGGGTGCGCTCAAACCCTTGAGGACAGAACTGTGTCTGTCTTCCCGGCTATGGAGGCCCACACCCAGCACAGCTCCTACAGATACCTGAGGGGGAGCAAGGGGTGGCCCCCAGGCTTTTCTGCTAAGTGGGGCCAGGCAATCACACTTCCGCTTTCTGAGTGCTGACCTGCAGTTAAGATTCTGATTTCATACCAGGAGGAAAGGCCTAAACCCACAGCCGCTGTCCCACACTCTCCGGGCTTACTCCATTTCCATGGCCACCAAGTCTCTCTACCACACTGGCAAACCCGGACTAGTGCCAGGGATCCCCTTGTGCCCACAACTCTGGCAAAGTAGCAACCACACAGCACAAAGCCCAGGCTGTGGAAGGTTAATCTGACTGAGGAGAGGAGAGGCCAGGAAAACGGCTCCCGGGGGGCTGCTCCCGGACAGACTGAGCGGCTTCCGACACCGAGTACAAACAGCACAGAGGCCGGCTCCCATCAGAGCATGATAGGGCTGAGGACCAGGTGACCATAACCCCAGCACCCGTATCCTTGAGAGCAAGAACTCCTCAGCAAAGTGGCTCCAAACCATTCTTCAGCATCAGAAACAGAGAAGACACAGTTCTGCCTTAAAGGCAAACTCCTGACGGGACACCTGCTCTCCCCACTTGGCTATGGGCTCCCGACAGTCGCCAATGCCAGAGGCCTTCCCTCGGAAAGACCTACTTCCCTCTGAGAGTCTGAGATCTTGTAGACATACCTTTCAGGTCAGGGTCCTCGTTGGGAGTCCCAGGATCTCTCTGATCAAAGGAGTCGGCGGAAATACTTCGCTCCCTTTTCCCCTTGCCCTTGGCACCATTTCCAGCCCCATTCTTCAGCCCCATGCTCCCACCTGGGCCAGGGAGCGCTTTAGGGGGATGGCCCGCACTCTTGGAGTCACAGGGGGATGGCTGGGAGTGGCTGGCTGAGCCCCCCTGTTTACCCTGGTTGGAGAATTTGGAATCCAGCTGGGGGTTTCCAGAAGGGGACATCACTGTGGGAGGACGGACCATCACCTCCTGCTTAGACTTAGGGCTACTGGAAGAGACAAACAACAGCGGGCCATCAGGCGCTGGGAGCAGCTGGTCGGCATCTTCAGGGAGAGGCAGTCCCTGGTGGGTTAGGGAGACCTGGAGGCCTCAGTCACCACCCCCTTCACCTCAGCCCCTTCTGCACCCTCCACCCCCTCCCGGCTCGGACAGGAGACGCACACCAGGCCTGCCAGGTCTCGGGAACCCTAGAGCCACATGGGGACCATCTCCACGGCTTCTGTCAATAATGGACAACGGTTTCTATGTACACAGAAGTGACTCTTACTCTGAGACTGGCGCAGAGTAAACAAACAGGTCTCGGAGATCACACTGCCACCCCGCCCCCAGCTGACGGCCTGGGACAGCTGTAACGGGAGCCCGGCCGCTCTGCTAGAGAACACGAGGTCCCGAGAGCAAAGGGACCCCATGACTGGCAGGTTAGAAAACCCCGCCAGGGTCCAATCCCCACCCCAAGCAGCATCACACTGGAGCAGCTGCACTAGCCACTGACCTCAGGGACCAGGAAAATTCTAGTAAAACATCAACTTCAGCACATGGGCCGGAGGAAAGAGCTCCCCATCAGGGGCTGCTGTCTTAGTTCTGACTGTAGGCACCCCCCCGCTCCGGGCCTCAGTTTAGCACTTGGTACTGAGTGGTGCTGGAGGCCCTTTCGTTTGTGCTCTGTGAAGAGGCGAGGTGAGGACTGGAAGGGGACGATGGACACCAGGTGACAGAGAAACACTGACATAAACGCTGCCGTTCCCTCTTCTGCCACTCTCACCCGGCCTCTTCCTTTCCTTCTGGGTCTCCCGGCCCCGGGGCGGCCGCCTCACCTCTGTGCGTTTCCTGACGGGGAGCTCCTCACTTTGGGGTTACTGGAATGCATTGATTGGAATCCTGAGCTTGCAGTCACAGGCAGGACGGGCTCCCCGAGTTCCTCTCGGGCTGCAGCAGGAACAGCTGCGCAGGGCAATGGCGGTGGCCCACTGCGTGCAGGGGGCGCCCCTCAGCGCTGGCCACCTCTGTGCCTTTTTCCTCTTGGTTTTCCTCCGCTGTGGAAGTGGGTCCTTTCCCCTTGCAGCTCCAGCATCCTCTGGGTGTGTGCCTCCTGCCGCCGAAGGAAAATCTCGCATCTCCAGGGCACACTGCGGGAAAGGACACCCGGAGAGAGTTGGGAGCAGAACCAGGGACATAAAACACCCTCAGGACAGGATCAAGGTTAACACAGCAGCCAACTCAGCGATGTAGCGGCTAGCTCATGCCTCCGCTTCCGTCAGGGTCAAAGGAAAGGGGACATTCACATTCTGGCCTGAAGGCCTGGTGCTTGGCAGCCGGAGAGGGACTAAAACTTTCTGCCAAGCATCCGAGCCTCCCGCCCCAGCATCACGTCCCCGGCAGGTTCGAGAAAAATACTTTTATCTTGAGCAACATAGTTTCCCTTACATTTCTCTACTTCCAAATATAACGCCCTCAGAAACATGAGGTTTTCTTTTTAAAAAACAATGCTTTGGAAACCACTGGTCCTCCAAATCCACAGCCACTATCTGGCGTTTCACCTCCGACGACAAGCAATGGCACCAAAATGCAACAACCCGCCCGACTTCACGAAGCAAATTAACCTGCGCGCGCTCAGGGCTGCGCTGGGAGGCAGTGCGGGAGGCTCTGCTGAAACCTAAGCTCTAGCCGATACCCAACACCGTCAGTCCTCCCAGTTCCCATGATCCTCCCATTCCATTATGTCCAGCGGGCGGCAGTCCTCACCGCTAGCGGCAGGCACTGCAGGCATGGGTAAGCGTGGGCATGATCCAGGGTGTGACAGGAAAACAACATCTTTGAAGGCTCAGGGTTTTCTAAGCCAATTTGCAAGGCTAATGTGAAGCATAAAGGTCAAGAACATATGCCCAACCCTAGCCAGAGAACAGAGGAGAAAGCCCTTCAGCTGGGAAAGTAAGTTGCCTGTGCAGCCACTGCTGCTTCGCCTCCCTCCCTACTTTCTGATATTTCCCCGATGGGGAGGCGAGAGGAGGAGGACGTTATTAGACACAGGTTTGTGGCTCAGGAACCCAAGGGTGTGGGCAGCAGCTCAGGTGTCACAGCCTCGTGCACTGCGGGACTCGGGAGGGACTGGAACTGGGAGTCAGTGACACCCCAGGCCTGGGCGCTGAGAACGATCGCTATCCAGTGAGAGGTGTCTGCTTGGTCGTTTAGCATGTGCATGAGTCCCAGCTGTTGTACCTGCGACACCGGGAGGAATTTATGGAAGTGCCGAGACCCACGATTACATGCTTGCTGTTTACACGAAGCCGGGAAAAAGAACTGGAATAAAAAGCTACGGAATATTTCTGTGTCAACCTTAGGGGGAAGCAGCTCCAAAACACGCTGGTCTTCATTCCGGGGAAAATTGTACTTTTACCCCACTCCACCTTCAGCTTTTCCTTTTTCCCGTTTAGACTATAAAATCGATTGTGGTTGTCAAGTTTGACACGCACAGTCGTAAACCATTTTGTAACTTCTCACAAAACATCAGGTGTCGCTGGTAAAACAGAAGCAGCGAATGCATCTTGCATGGAGGAGCCACCAGGAAGCATTTACTCAGGAAAGGAGAAGCCGTTACCACCTATACAGGCCCTTCCTGTGATTCCTCCAGCCGCCTTTGTCCGCACCACGCGTCCCGGCCCTCCGTCACGTCCTGCTGAACGTGTATGCTGCATCCCCCTCACACACCATGTTCTTTGAAGACAAGAACCTTGCTGGCTTATATACTTCTCTGTGCTAAGAAGATGGCTGACCCTTCGGTGACTTATGCACGACAGAAACACCTGGCATCTGTGTTGTAGTCTTCCCCGAAGGACCTCAAAACATTCCAGATCCCAAGCCACCGCAGTATGTCAGGCATTTCTGATGAGCCGCTGGCAAAGATGATTTCTAATGATACCGTGAACATAAAATACTATTATTTTCAAAGTGCTTCTCCATACAGTTTCTCATTCTCACAATTTAGTCCAACCCGGTCACCAGGCATTTTACAGACAAGTGGACAGAGCACATGGTTGTGAACGGCTTCTCGGTCCCCGGCAGGTGCTTGCTGATCCGGCCCTTTGCTCAAAGTCACCTCCCTGCCATCACTTTATGGCTGGACGGACAGCACAGAGGCTGGCACAAGCAGGTGGGTCACCCAGCACCAGGAAAGCCCAGGCGTTTCCACCCCTGATCCAGGGGGCGGGCTTGTGTCACCCAGCTTCAGCCTTCCTGACACCTCAATCACTGAGCGGGATCTGCCAAGCAACTTGTCATGCATATGGCTCCAAAGAGTAAAACAAGGCTCTTCAGCTCCTCCGTTCAGCTCCTCTGTCTGCACTTTGCACATTATACTCAACTGTTTACTTCTAAGGATTGGCTAAGATCTTCTACAGAGTGGCTAATTATAGCCAGAGAGAGAGCATTTCCCAGGAAAGACACCTCCCAACTCCTTAGATCCATATATACAATGTTTCCCTCTTTTCCTCTTATATAATTCCTAAAACATTTACTATGTGTTAGTCACTCTTCTAAGCACTGTCACTCATTCACAACCACCCCAGCAGGCTGGGGCCGCTGCTCTCCTTCCCCAGAGGTGAGGACACCGAGGCTCTGGAATGTTAAGTGAGCTGCCCAAGTAAGTTGGGCCCCAGCTTGGTAAGAGGCAGAGCTGGCGGGCAGCCAGCCACCACGGAATGTTGTCAAAGCAGGGTCTTGGGGACAAGGCGAGCTGGCCACATAAAGCACTGAGCAGTACAGCACAGCATAGGTTAGCTAGCCTAGGACGACCCCTGTTCTCCAGCAAGCTCCCTCCCTCCCTTCTCCAGCTCTCACTTTCCTCCCTCCCCCGGCTTCTAGTGCATGGTCTTGCTCAGTAAGCAAGAGGGAGAAGAGAGGTCTCCAGGCAGGAAGTGCTCACCACCTCATCTCCAACCTATTCACATCACCACCGCTCCATCTTTCTTCTCTGTTACCAAAACAAGAGTCCCCTCCTCCCCAAAGGCTGTCCCCCACAGGAGGCCTCCCCATTCCCCCTCAGCTCACTGAGCGCCCTCCCTCTCTCCTTGGCCATGGCCTCTATCTCCCACATCTCCTGAACATTTCCCATCAGCGCTCAGACGTGCTGTAGCCTCTTCCAGATAAAAATAATAAATAATAAAGCAAAACAAAACCCGGCCCTAGCACCCTCTTCTCCTTCAGAGCCAAGATGCTCCAGAGAGCAGACAGGACCAGCTTTCATTTACTTCCTTACCTGCCGTTCACCCTTTAACCCTTTTAAACCAACTGCCACCCACAGATCACAACAGCCACTATTTTTGCTAAGGTCACCACAGGCCACTTTTCCAACCTCATCTTATTCCATCTTGGAACTTGCCAGTTGGTCACATCCTTCCTGAAACTCTCCTCAGCACTGTCCACGCACACCTGCCCCTCCATAGCCCCCCAAAGGCCGGGCCACTGGGTGCGTTTCACATACCAGGAGACTCTTGGTTTCCAGAATCCACACTCCTTAGGTTTCCTCCCCCCACCCAGCCCTCCGGCTGCTGCCCCCTTCCCAGTCTCTACAAGTCAGAGTTCCTCGGACTCTACCCTGGGTCCCCTTCTCATTCTGTGAATCCTCTCCATGCCCACACCCCATTTTACTTCTCCACCTGCACTTACACACACAACTGCCAACTGACACCGCCTCAGTGTCTCACACTGAACAAGATCGATCGAAGAATTCTTCTCCTCTCTATACTCTCCCAAAACCATTTCCTCCAGTCTCCATCCCCCCGCGCCTCCCCTCCCCCCACGGTCTAAGCCTGGAGCACTTTCTAGAGGCATCGTCCATCAGGCTACTCACCCAAACCCCCAGGGTCACGATACTGCAGTGCTCATCCTGGAGGTGAGAAGTCAGAGGAGCCCAGGAACCCCTGGCTCAAAGGTGACCCTCACCTGGACAAGAAAAAAGGAAAGAAGAAAAACTCCTAAGTGGATTTTTTAAATCAACAATATGACTTTGTTTCTGAATATCTTAAGAGGACAGGTTTCTATTTATTCTAGAACATTAGTTTACGAGGAAGCTGTCATCTCCCATGTGAACAGAATGAGTACGAAGGGGATCCTGTCCAATCAGCAGGTATTTCCAAGCCTGTGCCTCTCCCTCCTCCCAACTGCATGTTTATTCCCAGGGACTGGAGGAATGCTAAGAACAAGCTAAATGGATTGTTCTTTTTAAATTTCTGGAAGCTTAGGTAGGGAAAAAAAACAACACAATTTTGCTTCTGCAAAATGTATATTTTATTAGTATAGAGAACTGAGAGCTGACTGTAAAGGTGAGAGAAAAAATTCCAGATACGCTCTTGAATTCACAAAGTGAATACCATTCACCGCTCCTCCCTCCCAGCTGTAACTCCACTCCACAGGGCAAGCACTCAGCAAGGAAATCTATTTTCAGATGCTTTAGGGGGGAGGGGAACTTAATGCAGCCCACATGATTCCCTTTGACTGAGTGCCTACTGTGTGCACAGGGTCATAAGTGCCTACTGTGTGCACAGGGTCATACTGAACTGAGCTAGTAAATCCACAGAACACGGAGGCTCTTGTCAAGAGGAACATTGTCCAACAAGAGTCCTTGCAAGTCAGAAGTGTAACAATGAGTCCCTTTGGCCCACAATGGATAGTTTTCAAACTACAAGGAAGAACCAAGTTCCAGAGTGTCCTAAGGCCGAATTATTTAGGAAACTTTAAAAGAAGACCTTACAGGTTCCCACAGTCAAAAATTCACAAACTAACCAGACCCAGGATAGAATCACCGCTACGATTCCAATTTCAACTCTTCCAATGACCCTTTCCCACTTTTCTGCTTTAAGAACTTTATTACAA